TACAAGGTAGTCCACTCGGCAAAATCCATAGTCCCCTATTTTAGCTTTGACAAGTAAGTGTGAGTGAAACGGCTACATACAAGCAGGCACGCACTGAAAATAAGGAACCAAAACCGAACGACTTCGGCAAGCCGAGTGGACTACCTTGTATAATTGTATCATGGTGAGCAGCAAAATACCCTAACACGCGTATGTACACGCGCATGTGTGAAAACTTAACGTCACAATTATCTGAATAAGGAACATTATTAATATTGCACCTATGAATTCTTTAATTTAATTATTATAAACGAAAAATTATGATTTAAATGAAAATTAAAGAAAATAAAATAATAATGCTTTACAAGTCTGATATACCCTTCTACTATTGTAAAGTGTATAAAGCCCGATAAACTGAAAATTGCCAGCTGTGAACAAATTCCCAATTTGGGAACACGACGAATATTAAAAACGAAGACGAAAGCCGAAAGCAGCAGTTCGTCGTGTTTCTATTTTTAGATTTTCCCTTTTTACCCCGACCGACCGCATCATGAAGCTCGAAACAGAAACGAAAAATTTTTTGTATGGGATGCAACATCTTGATATTCTATAGTCTTTGGTAATATGTATCTCGAACTCATGGAAGAATACCTCTCGTTAGGTCATATGTCTCCTACAGACAATAAAGTTTCTTTGACTCCACATTATTTCATTCCACATCAGTGTGTCCTTAGGCCCCAGAGTACGTCTACAAAGTTGCGTGTCGTATTTGACGCCTCTTGTAAAACGTCGTCTCAGGTGTCCCTAAATGATATCTTGATGGTAGGTCCAACTATCCAAGATGAGTTATACTCCACACTGCTCCGCTTCCGGCTGCACAGATTTGCTCTGACAGCCGATGTTAAAAAAATGTATCGCCAAGTAATGGTAAATGAAGCGGATAGGCCGTTTCAACTCATAGTGTGGAGAAGAGACCCCTCAGAATCCTTGAGATTGTACCAGCTCAACACCGTAACATATTGAACTGGCCCAGCTCCATATCTAGCGATTCGGTGTTTAAAAAGGTTGAGTGAATCTGCCAAATTTACATTTCCTAGAGCTGCTGAAGTTATTGGATCCGACTTTTACGTCGATGATATGCTAACTGGTGCTGCATGCGTCGAGGAGCTCAGATCTATTAGGTCTGAAGTGTCTCAGGTTCTTCAAACCGCCGGGTTTGAATTGACAAAGTGGTTTTCGAACTCACCTGAGGTCACCGCATCTGAGAGCACAGTTAAATCCATACCGATCTCGGATTCAGAGTCGACAAAGGCGTTAGGAATATCGTAGTTGCCCAACGAAGATTCTTTCAAGTTTGAAATTGACAATTCCGTCATGGATCTCAGAGCGACAAAGCGGAACATATTATCGGTGACATCGAAGCTGTTCGACTCCCTCAGCTTGCTTAGTCCTATTGTTATCAGAGGAAAAATCCTATTGCAGGAACTCTGGCTGAACAAGTTAGATTGGAATGAGTCGATTCCTGTGCATTTGGAAACTGCGTGGAATAAATTAAAAAATACATTGTCTCGTTTGGAAGAGATAACAATTCCGCGGTATGTGCACACCGATCCGATGTCACCGGTTCAATTGCATGCATTTGCCGACGCATCCATGAGAGCTTATGGAGCTTGCGTCTATATTTGTAGCAAAACTGCAGAAGGTATTAAACTGTCATTACTGACTTCAAAATCTAAAGTAGCGCCGCTCAAGACTAAAACGCTCCCAAGGCTTGAGTTATGTACCGATCACCTTCTCGCAGATCTCTGTCACAGAATCAAACCCCTATTAAAGGTCCCTATCGAACGAATAGTATATTGGTCAGACTCGGAAGTCACGTTGCATTGGATTCGATCCCATTCGTCTTCTTTGTCGATATTCGTCTCGAATAGGGTAGCGGAGATTCAGGAGTGGTCAGGAGAAGCTACGTGGCGGCATGTCCCAACTAAACAGAACCCAGCAGATATTATATCAAGAGGTTGTGACATAGAGGAAATTAGTGGTTCAATCTGGTTTACTGGACCAGTCTTTTTGAAAACGTCCTAATTGATGAATCAAGGAAGACTGTGGTAACGATGGCCGCCACGGTACGGAAGTCGGAACTGGTAGATTTCATCGAGGGATTTTCGTCACACCTCAAGCTGCTTAGAGTGTTCGTTTACATGTTCCGCTTTGTAAGGAAGTGCAGAGACAAGAGTATAGTTTTTGAAAAAACTGTCACCGACTGAGTACAACGAAGCCTTTTTAAAAATTGTCGAGACCATCCAGAAACACGAGTATCACGAAGTTTTAGAAAAAGTTCGGAAGAACTCCAGAGTTGGTCCAAGTTTTCAACGATTGAACCCATTCATTCATGAAGACTCGGGTACTTGGTGTAAGTTTTCGTTGTTGCAAGTTGGGGGCGATTACCAAATGCTCCTATATCGTACGATGCCAAGTTTCCACTGCTGTTGACAAAATGCTCCCAATTTGTTCAGAGCTATGTCCGGCATCTTCATTTAACCAATTTTCATGTCGGGCCACGAGCACTTGTGAGTCTCCTTCGACAGCGTATTTGGATCGTAAACGCTCAGGAGGTCTGCAGTCAAAAAGTTCGATCATTGCTTGAATGCAAGCCTCGACTAATGACACAAATTATGGGAAATTTACCCGCAGATCGGCTCCGTGCTCTCCGCCCATTTACTATCTGTGGCGTTGATTTTTGTCGCCCCGCCTATACGACATTGAAAATTCGTGGAAGGCCTCCTTATAAGTCCTACATAGAAATTGTTTCAGATTTAACCACTAACTCCTTTTTATTGGCTTTCCTAAGGTTCGTTGGGCGCCGAGGATGCCCTCGCACAGTCCATTGCGACAACGCGACGAACTTCGTCGGTGCGAGTCGCCACTTCCAGGGCCTTCGGGAGCGCATGGAGAAGGAGGCAGACGCCATACGCGAATTCGCGTCAAGAAGCGGATGCGAGTTTGCATTCACACCGCCTCGGGCTCCGCACATGGGCGGGCTTTGGGAGGCAGGTGTGAAAACTGCAAAGCACCTACTCCTACGAGCGGTGGGCAGCGCGCTCCTAACCGCAGAAGAGCTGGAGACGGTGCTCGTCGGGATCGAGGCGGCGATGAACTCCCGGCCGTTAGGCGCGTTAAGCAACGACCCCAGCGACGGAGAAGCTTTAACGCCCGGGCACCAGCTGACAGGCGGGCCACTATTCCCCATCCCAGCACTCCGGACCCCGGACCAGGCGGGTCTCAGTTGCTTGCGGCGATGGCAACTTGCCTCGTCAGCCAGGCGAATGTTTTGGCGGCGATGGTCCCTGGAGTATGTGCTAGGCCTTCAAGTTCGGGGCAAGTGGCACTTGGAGCAGCCCAACATCCAAGAAGGACAACTGGTCGTCGTCGCCGAGGACAACCTGCCGCCTCAACAGTGGTTGATTGGGAGGATCGTCGCCACGCACGCAGGAGAGGACGGCCTGGTCAGGGTCGTCGATGTGAGGACCAGCGGAGGAGGAATTTTTAGGCGGGCTATCCACAAATTGGCGCCGCTTCCAGTTTGTTGATGCCGGATGGGCCTTCAACGGGGCCGGTGTTGGCTGAAGCCAGTTTTTTCGTTGTTTATTTTTTTGAATTGTTAGAATAAGTATTATTGAATTGAATTTGAAGTCTAGTATAAGTTAGTTTAGGGCGAAGGTGGGAGCGCAATAAAGCTTTCGTTCGCTCTCTGCGAGCTCGCTCCGTCTTTGCCAACCTTCGGTAAGCTAGGCTTAAGTATGATTGTGGAGAATAGATCATTCGTTGAAATTGAGTCTTATCGAGCGCACGCATTTCTTCGTTTTCGTTTCGTTTTGCCAAAATAAAAATATTAATTTAGCCACCCAAGTGTTCGGATTTTAACATTTAGAAAAACGCTTCTAAATTTTCAACATACTTTAATTAACTAAACCTACTCGTGCGTTTGGTTATTTACAAGGGTGACATATTTGGTGTCTTCCCCACAAACTTGGGGTATACTTAATCTAGAAACAGAATTTAAAAACAATTATGGAAACAAGAATCTACATTGGGAAATATCCCATGATTTGAAGATATTTAAAATTCTTACCTCACAAATAATAGCCAATCAGTTCAAAATAAAAGTGATGATTAAATTCTCTGGATCAACTTGTTATTAATTCTAAAATATTTTAAAAATAAAACGTAAGACTATTTTAAAAGACCTTTTAAATGTCAGGAAATTCCATTTAGAAAACACTGTCTCCGCTTGGTTACCTCCGATTTTAAGAATTTAATGGTCACAATTACACTCACTTAAAATTGTTAACATGGGACCCTTTCACAATTTATAACGAACTTAAAGCCAAGACCTCCATTTCAAAAAACTCTGACTCCGAGATCATCCTTAAATAAACAATTTTTTTCAACACCTCCAATCGAATTTCACCCAGACCAATTCAACGCGATACGCATCTGAATACTGTATATTCTGGATACTGTAAATTTTTTCATCTTAATTTCCGGCCCTCTTGACTCAATCTTAGTTTTCGTGGATAATTCTCTTAAGCCAAGGATTCATTATTGATGATAAGGGGGCAGTCTGTTTTTGAATCCGAATCGTAAAGTTTGCACTAGTTACAAAGTGAACAGCAGTAATTTAAAGTAAAGTAAAAAATATTTCCTTTAGGAAATATTGTAAAAGTAAATACTAGGAAGAAATAAATTTCACACTGTGTACTTCAATTTACATTTCAGTTGGGGTTTATATTGTTCTGATTGATTAGCAATACTTGGTTTGTATAAACACACAACACTACCAGGATTAAACGGTAATACATTTGGTTCACTTATTGTTGGCGCTCATGTAAAAATGTTTATTTATTAGACACTGTTTTTAACCATTATCTTGTTGATCACCTCCTCTGCAAGACCTTATTTCGTCTGATGCCGTAACCGCAAACCAAGCTAATAAATAGTATTAATTGTTTTTTATATTTTTATTAACAATTTTGTTACAATTTGTATTTATTATAAGTGGAGTTCTAAACGGATTATCAATTGTTATCTTAATTTTAAGATTTGTTCATTTGATGCCTTTCGCAATTTCAGAGTATTCCCGAATTAATGTGGTGATTTGAAAAGCCTGAAATAGAAAAAACATGTAATTTTGTTTAACAAGTTTAACACAGATTTTTAGAAAATTAAGAATGCAAAGAAATCAAAGAAATACCAAAAAAAAAAAAAACAAGAAAGGAAGTTAGCTTCGGCAAGCCGAAGCTTATATACCCTTGCAGTCATCAAATATGTCGATCAAAAGAGCTATATGATATATGTGCGAATTCAAATGAATTCTAAATGCTGAAAAGTAGAGTTTTGTTTTGTTGCGTGCCGCAAGTTCAATACCAGTGGCAATAGTCGCCGCAATAAGTACAATACCAATTGGGCTGCGGAGAAGTGAATACGTCAAGAGTTCTTTTCGTACTAATTTTATTCAGTCAAACCTAGGCTTTATATACATGTTTTTTGGTTAGAGATATTTACTTAGGTCTAGTCAAGATTACAATTATTTGTTACATTGGTTAGCCTATCAAAACAGTACCAGTTGGACACAGATATCTTAAAGACAATATTACTACAGATAGTACTGCAGATGGTGTGAAGACGTGATTATCTGTGGGTTTTCTTTTACGATAGGTCCGAACATATGGACACAGGCCGATATCGTCCTGTGCTTGTTTAGGTAGGCCGATATCAACAAAACGACCCTTATCTAAGTTAGCCCATAAATACTGATCCAGCTGCGAACTATTTTTTCCTTGACGAAAATCGTACATTCTCCCGGCCGTTGAACGGATGTTCAACAGTCATTTATGTTGATTGTAAACGGCTGAGTCGTGGATGTAGCTGCAGTTGTAGGTGTACTCGGTCCTTGATGAAGTGGTAATGAGTTGGTAGACTTCTGCTTTCTTTTGAGAAGATGAATAATGCTGATGATCATTACGAATATTAATCCAATATAAATGGCTATTTGATGATGTTCGATGTTAGATAGATTGTGGGGTAACTTGAAGCTATTGTCTGGAAATAGTTCAAATTTTCTCTGGAGAAGTTCATTGAAGTGTAGGTTTTTAGTATCAACTTCAACCGTGGTCTTGGATTTTTTCGGTAAGAATTCGGTCAAATTGCTATCTCCGAATCGAGCATATGATGCCTGTAGTGTGCTTTCTGTATGATCCAGTGTAGTTATTGTGATCAATGTATTTCTAATGATACATCCAGGACTTGCAGTTAAATAGCCAGACTCTTGTAACTCTATTGAAGATGTTCCATCTAGGCAAACAGCAGCTAATTTTAAAGATGCGTTTGTTGCATATATCCATTGATTTGTGGCAGACATTCCATATAAAAGAAATGGTTTTTTTGTATTAATTATTTTACAAGATGCATCTGTTTTATTGTGAAATAATTTCATTTCGCAGCTTGTTTCTGATGAAAGCATTGCTTGCTTGTTGTAACAGATAAATTCTTTTGTTGTTTTCTTTTGACAAGAATTAAATTCTGCTTCTGACATTTCCATAAATTCATCACGATGACTATTGAATGCAAGGAACGGTGAATTTATCTCAATTAGATGAATGCCTTCCCTAGTTAGAAATGGAATTGGAGTCAATTTGTAAATGTCTAAAACTTGAGATGATATTAAAGGAAGTTTCACTTTAATAATGACGTGATCATTTACAATTGTTCCTTCGCCTCTCATTAGCTGATATGCCATAAGTAGGTTATCTGGCGAAATTGGGAGCATCTGTCCAGCTTTTAAATGACCATGAATTTGTTCCAGCTGCTCCTTTAGTTGTCGTGGTGAAATTAACATTGGACTGATCATATTATGACGAATATCTGTTAATACATTTATTATTTCTGTTTGTATTCGATGGAGATTTGATGCCAAGATAGACAGTTGAGTTGATAATGTTATATACCATGAGAGTTTATCAAATGCACTCTTGGTACTTTCTGTGCCGGAGATAAAATCTTCAATCAATTTTAATCGTTTTGAATTGGAAATCTCATCTCTTTTTATGACATTTATTGTTGAATCTATTAATGATGTCTGATTTTTTAATAAATTCAATAGGTGCTTTTCATTTCCTTTAACTTTTGTTATTGTCTTGGCCATTTCGTTAGCATATGTTGAGTCTAATACGCCAAAAAGACTACTTGCTATATTACCAACGATATCTAGTGGGGCTCTTTGCTTCCGTGATCTTGTGAGTAACATATTTTCCGCTTGTAGATCTTCCTCTAAATGCTTTAAATGGTGATACATGCTAGAACACGCTTCTTGTTGTGGAAATTGAGTACATAAATGACCAATTTTAGTTACTCCCATTGAGAATGTGTTCATATCATTCCAGTATGGTTTTAAGTTGTAATAAACAACTATAGACCAGTCCGTTGTGGCCAGTTGACCGTTTCCAATTTTTTCAAAGAATATTCCTGGCTTTGAGACAAATTTTGTTACATTTACTGATTGAGCAACAGTTAATGGTAAAAGAAGAAGCATTACTATTAATGCCATTGCCAATGATGATATCCCTGTAGATTTTTTCCTTTTTGGTGTGGTCTCCTCAACCACCGTGTCCTCAGAATTCTCGGATAGTGGATGCTTATTTGTTGGTTCTTCCTCTGCGAATAACGGAGCAATGTGTTGAATGTCGCGCTTAAAAACTCCTTTTGATGTTTTTACTTCAACTACTCTGACGAAATTGTCTTTTCCAGGGATTATCTTGATAATTCGTCCCATTGGCCACTGCAATACTGGTATATTGTCTTCTTTTATTAAGACTAATGCTCCTTCCTTTATATTTGCTGAGGAGCGTCTCCATTTTTGCTTCTGCTGTAGTTGTTGAAGATAATCCGTTGACCATTGCTTCCAAAATGCGTGTTTGAGTTTTGATACAGCTTGCCATCGCTGTCCTAAAGTCTGGGGTTGATGAGACGGTTCCCTGTCAGCCTGGGCGGTGAGTGGTTCTCCAATGAGAAAATGACCTGGAGTGATTGCTGTCAAATCATTTGGATCATTCGACATGGGAACTAAAGGTCGAGAATTGAGTATTGCTTCGATCTCGACAATAACCGTTTCTAACTCCTAATAAGTTAGATTAGCTGTGATAACATTTTTTAACAGCAAATGCTTAGCTGATTTTACCGCAGATTCCCACAATCCTCCAAAATGCGGAGCTCTTGGTGGAATAAATTTGAAATTAACTCCTTTGTCAATACAATTTTCTACAATGCGTTTTCTTGCCTTTTCTGAAAATATGGCATCTTCCAGCTCCTGAAGCTTATTCCTTGCTCCAACAAAATTAGTCGCATTATCACAATGTAAAGTTTGACATTTTCCTCGCCGACTGATAAAACGACGAAGTGCTGCCAAAAACGCTTCGGTTGTAAGATCACTCACTAACTCCAGATGGACTGCTTTAGTTGCAAAACAGCAAAATATTGCGATATATGCGGTATGTGGTTTTTTACCACGAATTTTGTAGTGAATTTTAAATGGTCCACAGTAGTCAACACCAGAATTCAAGAATGGTCTTGCTTGAGTTATTCTTAATGGTGGTAGGTTTCTCATTATTTGCTCTAATAGTTTTGGCTTGGCTCTGGTACATTTGACGCAATTTAGAATGACACTTCGGGCGATTGTTTTTGCTTTTATTGCCCAATATCTTTGCCGTGAAATGGCCACCAGAGCTTGGGTACCACAATGCATATTGTCTTTATGCAATTTTTCAAAAATTAACTTTACAAGTTGGTCGCTATATGGAAGTAATATTGGGTGTTTCGCATCAAATGACAATTCAGCGGCTTCCAATCTACCTCCAACTCTGATAAGATTATCCTGGTCTATGAAGGGTGTGAGTGCGCTTAGGCTGCTGCTTCTTTCCACTTCACGAGAATTTTTTAGACTCTTAAACTCCTTGTTTAAGTGTTTTTGTTGGATAATGCGGAGAATTACTTTTCTTGCTTGTTCCAATTCATCTAATTGAATCGTTACACCCTTTACTTGTGGCCTTGTTTTTACACGCATAATGTATGCTACTATTCTTAATAGCTTGGAAATGGAATTCCTATGATTAATGCGGTATAGTATACTATCGTTTTGCACTGACAGAAGAGATGTTTCTGTCGCTTTGGTGATGCGCTCAGCTTTAGATGCCATAAATGGTGCAGGCCATTTTGATGGCGGCCCATATAAAAATAGGGGACCAAAAAACCACAGGTTGTGATTTGCAAATTTGGAACCACAAATTCCTCTTGAAGCAACATCTGCGGCATTTTGTTCTGATGATACGTGGCGCCATTCCTTTTGCAGAGATGTTTCCTGGATCGTCGTTATTCGTGTTGCCACAAATTTATCCTTTATTGTGGTAGGACTATTTATCCATGATAATACAATTTCCGAGTCTGCCCAGTAGTATGTTGGGACGGCTTGCATGGATAATTGCTCTTTTACAGTGAACGTCAACTGTGCACCAAGTACTGCCGCTTTCAATTCCAGTCGAGGAAGAGTGATTTGACTTATTGGAGCCAAATGCGATTTTGCACACAGTAATTGTACAGTCACTCTTTTGTCTTTATGAACTGCTCGAAGATAGACAGCTGCTGCATACGCATTTTCAGACGCATCAACAAAAGTGTGGATCTCCTTTGAGGTCGGCACTTGACCTTCAAAAATATGACGTGAAATTTTTATGTTGTTCAACGCCTCTAAGCTGTTACGGAATTGTATCCATTGTTTTTGTAAGTTATCAGGCAAATCCTCATTGTAGTCGAATTTCTCCTTTGTTAAACTTTGCATAAATATTTTTGCTTTAATTACGACTGGCGAGAATAACCCAAGTGGATCAAATATTTTAAATATCTCTGAGACAACATCTCGCCTTGTAATTTTTTGTGTTGTAGCAATTTGTGTCTTTCCGCAAAGCTTATCTATCTTGGGATTCCAGATAATTCCAAGAGTTTTGATACTGCAATCTTCGTATGCCGTATCTTCCAATTGTACATTAGGGATTATATCATCTTTGTTTAATCCCTGTAAAAGTTGGTTGCTGTTTGCGCACCATTTTCTTAGCTTGA